GAGGGCTGTCCCCAGCCCGGCCCGGAGGGCTGCGCGGTGAGGGGCAGCGGGACAGCGGCATGCCCGCAGCCGCAGGCTCGGGTGAGCGGCAGCGCTGCGGGTCTGCCCTGGCAGCCGTCCCAGCCGTGCGGTGGGGTTTGCGCTGCTGAGGAGCAGCACACGCTCATCCTGCGCTGCCTGGCCATGGACCTACCGCAGTGTTGCAACCTCCAGCCTTTCGAGAAAGCCACCGTGTCCCGGCCGGGCTCTCGGACAGCTGGTCCCAGCCTGGCCAGGCCTGGCCGCATGCTCTGCTGAGCGGGCAGGGAGACGGAGGGAGGCAAGGAAAGCTCGGTGGGCAACCGAAGGTATTGTGATGGCAAGGAAAAAATTAAATTGCAACATCGTACGGATACAAGGAAATTACTTTTCCTCTTTTCTAAGCGGGCACGGCCGCCGCTCCCTGTCTGCAGGGAGCAGGACAAGTCTGGAGGGCTGAGTCTGCCCTCACTTTCTGAGCCGGTGCTTTCGTACAGCTGTGTCGCAGCCACCCCCGGGGAGACGGGGTTAAATATTGACGTAATCCTTGCCGAGAACTTCAAATGAAGGTTATCGAGGAAGGCGCTTATTCCAGGCTGTGCTTGGCTAAGAGGAGCTGCACAGACCCATGATAAAGATTTGGGATTTTTCCAGGTAAAATGAAAAATAAATCCCAACTCTAAAGTGATGGTAGAGTAAAAGATACAAGAGTGAATCACTACTCTGGCCATTGCAATAATTTTGGCCTTTGTGTAAGAGAAGACCCCAGAGTGACCATGTATAAAGAAGTCACTGGTTTTTAAGAGCCTTGTTTTTTCAGTTTCATAACGTGTGACGCTGCAATGGTGATCAGCAGCAGTGCCACAGCCCTGCAGCTCCAAATGAAGGGAGCCAGAGCTGAGGTTTCTTGCCCTCATTAAAATGGAAACCCTAACCTGAAACAATCAAAGTCAAGGGCCAGCAGGGTTGGCCTACTGGGGAGATAATGGGATCATACGGCAAAATATTTTGTATTTTACAAGATTAAACCCATTGTTATTTTTCTAGTGCTTCATTGTATTGTGTTGGTAACTGTTTTTATGTTGTCCCCTTATCCCATGTTTCCCATTTTCTTAATAAAAGTAAGTTCTCTTGAAAAAGTGAATAATTACAAAATAAATAATTGCTTCTTCTGTTACAATACTTTAGTTAAATAATTCTTACACAAAAAAAAAAGAGCGTCTGAAATGCAGATTAATTATTTACTCCTGTTATGGACTGAATAAAAAGTATCTGCTAATTTAAGTTTTTAAGACAAATTCATATGCAAACTTTAGGTACAATAGGGAAAACTGAACTTGAATAGATATCCCCACACTACTGGGACAGAGGGGCACTATACCATTCTCACATTGCAGCAGGTACATATTCTATACATGGAAATGTGTCATGGTAGGCCCTTGTTCTGTCACACTTACAAATATGTTAAATCCCAGCTTTCCTATTATGAGGTGTCCTGCTGGACTATTCATGGAGGGGAAGTAAAGATTTCTAGCACACTTTTATCACTTTTTAGCACTTCTGTAGCAGCAAGCTTTTACTTCTATTTTGTAAGCATCTTTACAATATTTGATATTCTTCAGGTAAATGTTCTGTTGGAGTCACTCATGTGAGCAACTGCTTCTTCGCAGCATCAAAAAATGTTTTCTAATTTTGCCACTTATTAATAGTGAGAGTTTCAATTTTAGAAGGAAATTCTGATTGACTAAGATATTTTCAGGAATTGAGACCATTACTGTTTGGTTTTTTCTTCACTTATTTCTTTATTGATATATTTGGACTAGACAGAAATATCATGACCGTTTGTGCAAGTAGACCTCTTGAGTAAAACGATATTATCAGAAATAAAAAGTAAAGTGGAAGACTTTGTTTCAAAGTTTTTGCAAGATAAAACTGCCAAAACGTTTTTGACTTTGCAAAGCAAGCATGATCTGATCCTTTTTCTATCCTATTTCTCTCTATAGATGGATTCATGTGACCTGTAATACCTGAAATTTCTAGTGATCATTTTTAATCCACCATTTTGAGATGTGAAGATTTAGATTCCTCAG